TGTTGTTGTGTGTTTAGGTGGTGGGAGCTGGTGTTGTTGTGTGTTGTTGTTGTTGTTTTTTTGTTGTTTTTTTTTTTGTGGTTGGACTCGATGATCTCTGAGGTCCCTTCCAACCACTACAATTCTGTGTGATTCTGTATGAACTGTAAAACTACACCAGCAAAAGTGTTTCTTGGAGTTCTAAACAATGTTTAAAAGCAATTCAATAAAAAAGCATTTAATGGGAGCAAGGAGCAAATGGGATAGGAGCCTTAACAATATTAACAGGTTTGTACAAACATCCACAGCCACCCAAAAGCATAATCAAATAAAGCGATAGTTATGTTATAATCATCAACACAGAAAGTCTCTCTGCAAGCTCAGCCTTTGTACTTACGATGCAAACCTCTGCACCAGATGTAAAATCTGGCTCCCCTTTCCTGTTCTGTACCTGGCTGCCACTTGTGTATGATTTGTTTTCTGTCCATGTACAATGTAGCAGATTAGCAAGGAGAAATCTAAACTCTAATCTGTGTATCGTTAACTGTATTCACTCCTGAAATGTTAGCTTCTTTTGTAACTTGAATTCCTCATCAAAAATGTTTGTAAGGCTTTGCATTAAATGCATTTGAAAACAGACATTCAGATGTCAGTTGGCAAGGGCAGATGGAGTGTGATCAAGATGTTTGTCTTTATGACAGTACCTTGCCAATCTAAACCTGAACAATGCCACCCCAACACCTTTCTTGTTACTGTTCGGTATTAAAATAAAGCCTCTATGGTCCACCTCACACCACTTAACTGGCAAGAGTATGAATTACTGTAGCAGGTGGGCCAGTGTGGTTTTAAAAGCAATGTAATACAATCAACTGTACAGTATCAGATTTCAAGGAACGCAAAAGACATCCAGAGCAGAGGCTGATCCTTAAGTAATTCTAATATTGGCATTAAAGTGTTCAAGATCCCACAGGGACCATTTTATCTTTTGACCCCAGGTTCTAATTGAAACTTTAAACAAAATATATTACCTATTTAATGCAGCTGAGCTGGACTCTGGCTTTTGTAGTGCATGTTGCCATGCCAAGCAAATTAATCTGTGTAACCTTAGCATGTACTTTTTAATTTACATCAAAGAAATATGACATAGAGAACATAAATACCAAGCCAACCCTATACAGCTTGTTGAATACTTATTTTGATTCTAGTTTTAGAGTTTTAATTTTTAGTTGTTTTGGGTTCTTTAAAGAAAAAAAAAAAAAAAGAAAAGGTTTTACTTCTTGGTACAAAGCCAGAGAAACATATGGTTTCCTAAGCTGAGTTGTTGCACACCTGGCAAAATAAATCACAGCAACAGGAGACCAAAATCTACCCTGCAACTTTTCGTATGCACTAACTTAGAACATCTGATGATGGTCTTCTGGCCTCGCCTTTTATACCATGAATAAAATGCAAAGTCAAATGGATGGCTTGCTTCTTGAGGTCCAATACTTCTTCTTCCTCTAAGAGGCAATTTACTTAGAGTTTTAAAGGATGAGAGTCAGCCAGGCAAACTGGCGCACTGGAGGAATGAGTCACTGGCCCTGTCAGAGCAAAAGGCCAATAGAAGCAAGCACAGGAAAAGAAGTGTAACACAAACAGGGAAAGCAGGTGGTGTAAAGGCTTAACGCTGCTGGAGTGTTAATGCTACTGCATTCGGAGCACTGAGTTCAAACCCTAATTCATTTTAAACAGTTCATCTCCTGTTTATCCTCTTTCGAGCATGTCATGTACATCATACACAGAAAAAAGGCTCCAGAAAATCTTCAATGAAATGATTGAGTAATTATTAAAAATTAGAGGAAGCATTGTTTTCATATATCACATGCCAATATGTAACACTGAACCAAGATGAGTGATTGCCAGAGACTCAGAATACATCAATCACAATGACAACTGCAGCAGGTAATCCTCAAACTCTAGCTATTCTTGGATTTCATGATGAGCCGTGAAGACTTTTTCCACACACAGAGAGACAGGGAAGGACCCTTCCTTCCTGAGCAGCTGGGGAGCAGTCCCCAGTTTCCCCCCACTTTCTCCCCAGCAACGAGTACACAGTGAGCTTGCACAGCTCGGAGTTAGGTTCATGCAGTTCCAAGCACATGATACAGGACTGGCCTAATTCAGTTCCTTTTGAAGGCAAGAAGTAGGCAGACAAGTTTATGTAATGCTGTTTATCAAAGAAAGTGTTATAGTGAATGTGTTTACAGTTTTATCTTGAAGATCAAAACAGAAATAAACAATCCAGTTGGCCTTCGGGTGCCCAATGAAAGCGTATGAGCTGCAGAGCGGATGCGCTCCTGATAATGGATGCGGTTGCCTTGTTCTCCTGTCACACCCGATGCAAAGAGATGACTGAATAGGTGTTTAGAATTTATCTCACCCAAGTTGAGCTACCAAGTCTAAGCTAGTCATCTCAGCTCCTTTTACAGGAGAAGTGCGCTTGCAGGGGATTATTTGTATTATCTAAAATAGATGTCTATGTCAGATGGGCTTAATTACTTCCCAGAGATATTTTTTTCTTTCCACACTATAAAGCGAGCTTAGCTACTAACAAGCTGTCTTCTCATCTAACCTTTACACTATTACAGGTAGGAGAGACTAACTGCAGTCATGTACACTCATGTCGACGTGTCCAGGACAGCTTTAAACAAATCAGTCTGAGTCCTGCTGTTAATATAGGTGCACTGCATTCAAGTCAAGTCACTACCGGACTCTTTATGTAGCCTCTTGGATTGCCTTTGCAGCAGAGCCAACAAGCCACACCTCCGCAACAAACGTGAAGCAAGTTCTGGCTTCCCTGCAACAGCTGCCATCACAACAGCAAACAAAATACAAATATATGCTATGTTAATAAGTTGTACTTTACAGGAGCTCCATAATAGCCTGTTGCTCTTCGCAATAGGCTGAAAGGGGCTAAGGTAATCTTGGTTGACCCTAACTTGTCATGCCACTAGGACATCCGTGAAGTGCCGGTGGCTGCCTAAAGGAAACAGAAGCCAGAGTAGGGGCTAAGCAGTGGAGGGAGGAAGTGTAGCAGCAGCCAAGCCCAGGCAAAGGACTGAGCCAGTCTTTGTGTTCACTATTGCTTTGTGAGTTAATAAATGCAAATCCAAGGAACAGAGTGAACTTGGACGTCATGGACTGTGCTTATAAAGGAAGCTGAGAAAGGCCTCCTGAAACTGAAAAAGTAACAAAATGGGCAAAAAAGTAAAAAACTAAAGAATCTTACATCTGCCATAGCAGTTTTTAAAGGGCGTATATATTCATGAGAAAAGAAAAAGGGTGGAACAGGCCTACTTTGTGATGGAACAACCATCATACTAGAAACAGTATTGGTTTACTTTCTCTGATTTCTATACTTCTGAAAAGTACTTTTATTAGAATTATAATATATACACATATGTCTGCACTAAAAAGGGCTGCAAAACTTCAGAGGGCTTGCTGGAACACTGCAGTACTTCAGCAATCACTACATGACACTGAGAGTAAGCAGAGGCTTAATTCACGGAGTGGTGACTGTTGATAACCCCACCAAAATTTATCAGAAAATGCTGATAAATAAAACTGATGAAACAATAGTTCAGCTAAGACTCCCTATGAACAAAAGTACATGCTATAATCAACTTGTGCATTTTAGGGATTTTAGCCATTTGCATTAATCTGATAATGCTCAGCATTGAGGGAGCAGTAACTCTCCATTGAACTGTATGAACTGTTAAGGAAGCGTTTATGCTATTATTGACTTTAGATACTTAGTCACTGTGACGAGAAGTACTCCATTTAACATTTACAGAGATTGCAAACATGTAGCATCAGTTACAACTACAATTTTAGAATAGTTTTTGCCTATGTCCAAGTACTTGTAAGGAGCTAATAAAAGATGCCTTTCCTCATTAAGTAGAGTGATGCCTCCTTTCAACAACTGCGTCAAACCAATTGGTATCAACCAATACATTCCCTTATATTTTAGGCATTGGGACAGTGTAAAAAAAGGCGCTAAACACCACAAGCTTCCTGTTGATCCTAATTGTTTCTACAGATATTTTTAATTGCTCTATTTTGAACTACTTTAAAGGCATCTTACATCCTTTTCTGTCCCAGATAGGAGCTCACAGAGTCTACGGGGCCAGACACTGAGGTTCCTTAGCAGAAACACATGCCTTTTCAGAGAGAATTCCACTTAAAAGCATCCCTGGAACAACGAAGAACCTGCCCTCTTGTTTACAGATATGAATACTATAAATAATCATTCATGTTATCTTTCTTTTATCTGTTTAATATATCCTGTATAAAAATGTGATGAAGAACATGAGGAGTTAAATTTTAAGAACAAAACACACCCCAGCTAAATTAATGTTTCTTGCAGTACTCAAGAGACTCTGCTAAAATTCTGAAGAACAGATAGCCTGGTCCTGGAAGAAGAATTTTCTCATTGTAGATGTTGAACTAACAGTACAATAATTTTTTGGCACAACCTGCATAAAAGTCCATCTATCTCTGTGAGCCTCTTTGGACATCTTGTTGGTTTAGAAGGAAATTTAACATCCAACACCCACACTAAATTTTATGTTATAATCAATCTCACTCCATTTTCTATGAAGTAAATACAATTCCTTCTTAGTTTCAAAGATGACTTAAGTGGAGATTAAAAAAACGTGTATGAATTGCATGAGGTCTCCAAGATAGCAGATGAGAGACTCTGGAGGCAGAGAAAAACACCGTGCATTCCACATGTACAAGTGCTGCATGGACACTCTTAAAGATATCCAGTATCTAAGACTCTCATCATGTATTGTACCTTATCCAGACTTGCAGTTGCTGGGATTTAAGCTCTGAAACCTGTTTGGCTCGTATCTACTGAAGGCAATTATTTCTCTTTTTATTAGCTAATTCATTTGAGCACCAGTTGCTTAGCTAAGCTCTTTTGTTTCACCCTGTCCTATGCCTCAAGTATCTTTCTGCAGCACTAAAAATGTACTTACCCATCATGTTGTATAAGCTCTGTGGTGCAAACTGCCTTGGCATTTTCTGTATTGCTTCTTTGTAAACCATAAGGGCATCCTGAAAAGAAACATGTAAGTGGGACAAATCATTAGTAAAATACCAATTTCAAAAGCAGTCTTTCACATATCAAGTAAAACCAAACTACCTTCCTTCCCCAAACAAAGGTGCAGAGGGAAAGGAAAAACACTGGTGTCATAAATATCACAGAAAGTTCACATTTCTCATTTACACAAGTTTTGCCAATAAGCTTCACTGAATTTGGTAAGAGATCAAATTAGCTCCAATATCGCAATTCTTTTTTCCAGGTGGAAATAAAAGGAACATTTTTTTTAAACCCCTCACTCACTCATGAGTTTATAAACGTATATAAAATTCTATAGGCTGTCAGAGAATATGAAATAATATCAAACTGCAAAGAACTTTCTGATGACTAAGCTACAGTGAGTGACCTAAAAATAAAGAAATCATTGTCTTCTGCCAAATAATAACAAAACATAATCCTCACAACTGAAGTCTGCTCCACAGAAAGAGTGAGATGGACTATAGTGTCAAGAATGCCAAAATTGGATTCCCTTTACGAATGTGCTGTGCCTTGAATTACTTGATTACATATTTATGACTCATTCAGCACTTAGCACACTTACTGGTCAGTCTGTTAGCTGTGCAGCATTTTCTACATCATCTCATCAAATAGTTGCAGCTTGCGAAGGCTGAAATATGCTTGAAAAAAGGTCTAAGCATATGATCAAATCAAGGCTGGGTCAGACTGCAATGACCACCAGGCAGAAATCTGATGGTTTATATTCTTAAAACCACTTGCACCTCCCAGGCATTGCACTCCAACTCTACACTCTATCAGCCATGCAGACAACATGCTGCTGTTCTCTTATCTTTATGGATGTATTAGCTGTCTGCGTCTGTGTTTTAATCAATTAGTAACTGCCATCTGACAGAGCTGGATTCAGCAGACAGATGACAGAGAATCCATAGAGCTTGTGCATGGCTAATCTTAAACAGCTGAGGTAACTGCCACGGTCAGGAAGAGCTATATGGATCAAAACCATGCGTAACTCCTGTTCTGAAGTATGTGTGGCAATGCAAAGAGAGAATGACTTTCTTTCAAATACTGCTAAAGGTCAAAACTCAAGCAAACATCCAGTTTTAGTAATTTCATCAGGGAGAATAGAGAGGAATCACGACAGTCACATTTGCACACATAAATGAGATGGGATGGGTTTGGTGCAGCGTACGGTTACATTAAAAATATCCAACCCACTTTAGCACTTAGGTCAAATTATCTGAAAATAGCACATCACAGGACATTTTTAATCACTGAAGTTTTGAATTGTTCCACCTAGGTCTTATTTTTGGAGACTCAAAAGCAAATATAACTGCATTTTTTCAACTAAAGACAGACTTATTCTATTTTGAATTAAAAAGCCAGTACACTTTAGGTCGACTGGTCTGTAATCAGGTTATATCCTTTGCATACCAGCTATGCAGACAAAGCCAAAAAGAATGAATTAACACATATCAGATGTCACCATTGCTAATGTTGATTCTGATATCAGAATATCACACTACTAATTAACATTGTCACACCTGTGACTGTAGAGAATAAATGTTCTCTGTAGAGAACGTTAATCTTGATTTGGTGAAATTTAATCAATTTGTGCCTGTTGTATTTTGAAAGCCTGGATGGAAGCAATAGTTATTATTTATATATAAAGGTTTTACCATGATACTGTAGACGAATATGGAGTCTTACCTCATAGTGTCCTTGTTCATGAAAAAGCTTTCCTAAGTTATAAAGACAGCTAGTAACAGAGCTTTTATGAGCATGAGGATCTTTCAAATTTTCATCAGGGATCTCTGAACACTTCAGAAAAGTCCTCCTGGCTTCTTCTGTCTTCCCTTGGTTCATCAGGATAATACCAGTATTTAAATAGGCAGCTGTGAAGAGGGAAAAAATGTTACATTTTAACAGGGTTCCATTATGTTTTATCTAATCTTTGTTTTAATTCAAAGTAATATCTAAAAGATGTCCCATGGTTATCTAATTTGGCTTTCATATAATATAGATGAATCCCTGGTGTAAAGGGGAACATATAAAAGGTAAAAGACAAGGAAAGGAGAAAGTGGCTACAAAGACTGAGGAAGGAGGGAAAGGTGCTCCATTTTGTTCTCCTTATTAATGCTGTATCAAGCATATAGTGTCCTTGTTTGAAATGTTAGAAAAATAGATACATCTGTTTATACATATATACGTGTACACATATATATGCATATATAGAAGATTCAATGCTTAAGCTACAAAAAACTCAGCAATCTTAAAAAGCACCCACTTAATTTTGGAACCGATGACGAGTAACATCCTATGGATTATTTCCCATTTCCCCCAGGCAAGAAAGGGAAAATGAAAGGACTTCAAAAGTATTTGCATTATTCACCCACACCACACACCATAAAAGTCAGGAGCTGGCTGCAAGAAACAGAAGACAGGAGCCTGAAAACTTGGGGAATAGCATCTATGGCTCACCATCCCAGACCAGAAGCATTTTAGGTTCTGCCAGCGCTGCCCAGTGTTAAATCATTATCTGCTTCTTCCCTACACAACATTAAGTGTAGTTGTTTTCTAATAAGCACTTGCTTTCAACTGAAAAGTGCACAATTTCACCTTTTCCTTTCCAAATGAAAAACTTATGAAAAAAAGGAAGTGTTATTAAAGAGCAGGAAGATTTCCTTAAAAAACAATAGTCGATGTTATGCAAGCTTGTACAGTTGAAATACTTACAAGCTAGTGTGGGTCTGCTACCAATCGCCAGTTTATAGTAATGCAATGCCTCTGAAAATCTGCTGTTTTCCTGGAGTAGTAATCCTCTGTGTAAGGACAAAAGAAAAGAAAAAAAAAAAAAAAAACAAAGAGAGAGAGAAGGAGGTTACTGCAAAAAGTACCTTCAAAATAAATGTTAAAACTAAAATGTAGTTAAGAAAGAAAAATATGCTGACTGGTGTTTCAGAGATGTAACAACTCGGCATGTTACTAACAATTCAGTGGGAAAATTATTTTGTCTGAAAACGGGATTAATTCACAGACATCAGGTGCATCCATATGGATTTAACAAAACACATGTTAAGTGCAATAGTTTTGGCTTCCTTGGAAACCAGAAGACTCATTTACGCAGTTGAGAAAACAGTAGACTTTGAGATATTTTAAAGCAGATGGAGTCATTCACATTTAGCCTGGTCTTTTATTGACGTGAAATAAGCAGCTCTTTTTTAAATGCACAATATGGTTAATCACCTAACACTTCACATGTACTACCTCAACCAGTCCTCGTTGAGCAATTTCACTAGATTATTCACCATACGGCTAAGTATCTACATCAATTCCGTTTTTTCCTGTCTTCTTGGTGCTCTGAACATATTTAATAACTGAAGAGGTATCTGAAGTGGTGCAAAAAATGATGCCGAATACTTCTAGTTCTCAGTTAGTTTCATAGTCCGTGAACTTTAATTAAAGCTTTTAAGACAAGCATTCTTCTGAATTACAAATTACATCTGATACACATTCTGAATTATAAATTTCTGAGAAATAAGTTGACTGGACATCACTGACATAAATTCACAATTGTATGCTTAAATGAATGTCCAAAGCACTACAGTTCCCAAAGTTTTAGGAGACTGAAAGAAACATATGCAAATGAATTAAAATCACAAAGATTTAAAAATCCTTAGAAATCAGTTATTTCAGAGTGCAGACTCAGACCTTATTATCCAGGGGTAGATGCACTTCTTTACACACCTCAAAGCACCCACAAAAAATAAATGTAGCTATTTCTTTTAGGAGGCAGGTTTATCATATCTGTTTGTAGTTTCCCGAACCTACAGCAATTTTGACACCTTCTGCTACGTGTTTAGCAGCTGATAGCATTTCAATCGGCAAAGAGGTTGGGCTTTTTCCATCTCCAGTCTCTAATCAGAGATTTTTTTTCCCTCCATATTCTTAAGAAAAGTTTTTGAATTAAACCAGTAGACTTTGGGGGAAGAAAAGAGTAGGGCAGTTAGTTAAAGAAGTAACACTATGTTATTTGCTTCCTGCTGCTGAGCTAGGATTTAGAACGGCAGGACGTATCCTCTTTTTTTCTGTACTATCTCTCCATCAGCACCATGTGGCCTCGCTTTCGAAAATGTCTCTCAACTAACTATTACTATTTAGGTAGTAGATCACTTTTAATCTTAACAGAATTCACATTCAGTTGGTACTTGCAGCAATGTGACCAATGAGGGAACAGTATTCAGGATACTTTTTGACAGGGCACCAAGGTTTTTAACTACTGTAAAGTGTCTTGCAGGGGGTAAGATGTACGATCATCAGGATAGAAATAACATTTTCTAACTTTTCTAGAACCTGGATTTTGTTTGCTTTAGAAAAACGTATAGACTGCAATTACTCCAAGGAAATGTACTATTATTATGGTATTTTGATGCAGTTTTCTACTAAGAGGAGTAGAATTAACATAGAAATAAATGAGTTGCATGGTCTGACATTTAAGCTGCTTCTTACTTTTCAAAAAAAAAAACCCACAATTTTGGGATAAATTTATCAAAGGAATTCCATTCTTATTTTAGTTCTGGAACAAATAATTTCACCTATTAAGAGAAGTAATGCAGTAATTGGTCAACTTGAACAAAATAAATTACTTTGGTAAGTGTATGACATTTGTGGTTTTTGGATTAAAAGAACATTATTTATAATTATTACCAAATTTATCTTCTGTGTTCACTACGTGTACTAGTACTGTCACTCTTGATTAATTACTTGACACTTTAAGGTGGGGGTTTTTTTCTACTCCTCTTCCAGAAGACTTTTTTCTTTTCTTTTAAAAGTTGTTCTATTAATAGACATTCTCATGCACACACCTTTTTTTATATATACATATATAAATATATATATAAAAACCCAAGCTGCTCAGATGCAAGACTGAGTGCTGAATTCCAGCAAATAATTACTGTTTCATTTTTATTTGTTACGAGATTTGGTAGAAGATAAAGAAGAAAAAAAAAAAAAAAAGATATAATCTAAATAAACCTTGACAAGGCACGAAACTGCCTCTTCTCCTTGTGAAACTGGTCCTGATTGATCGTTGGTTTTCCCTGTGGCTTATGACAGTACAAAAATTACTAGATTTATGAGTCTCTAGTTCTAGTTTCAGATTAAACAAAGTCAGGAAAAGGCTTAAAGGAAAATTAAAAAAAGAATATTTTTAGTTGAATGCAATTAACACTTAGGGGAGTATGCTTCTGAGAGATAACTGTCCTGGATGTTCACCTATGAAGTGATAAAAAGTTACGTAAATAGATAAAAAGTTAAAATTATGAACATTGCATTAAACTGGAAAAGCATTCCTGAATTTACAGTGTATATTAGAAGAGTTTAAAGAGCAGATATATTTCACTTCCAAGATGAAAAAATCAGATCCTCTCTAGCTCTAAGCTCAAAACAAAATGCAGGCATATAAATAGGCTCACCAGCCTCTATCCAATTACTCATAAGATGCAACTAAAACTAAAACCATAAACTTCAAATTTAGTTACTGTCAAAATTAATACTGCCTGTGAAATGCCTTACTTCTTTTTTTAGAGAATGTATTATGATCCTGGTCTCTAACTCCATTATTGCTCACTATTACTTCTACAGGTCTACTGTCTCATTTACAACACAGAAGGAATATAAACGAGCAATAGTTCAATATTTGCTTTTGTCTCCAGTTTCTACAAGTAAAACACAGCCATCTTCCTTAAATATTTACCTTTTGAGTAAAACACAAAATAAGCACCAGGATCAGATGAAAAACTACTGTTTATTTCAAAATTAGTTCAAGAAAATCTGCAAGTCCTCAGGTTCTATATTTGTCTTTCCATTGCTGCGTTTCACAGCATCTAGGCCATCCCCAAGACAAAAATCATGCTGATTTTCAGCTAGGCATTACATCCGAGAGACAGCCCCTGGGTTCTGAGAAACAGCATAGTTCAGCCTTGCTACCACATTGCTAAATCACTGGACGTGGTGAGCAGAGACAGCAAGGCCAGTTGAAGGAACAACAGCCTAAGGGAAGGACCCTGGGAGTGGAGCAGAGATCTCCTTCCCAAGGCTCCCTGCCAGATGCTCCAGCAATGCTGCGTTCAGGCAGCAAAACCCAGGCTTGCCTCTGAAAGCGGTTGGCCCTGAAAGTTTTTCACCATTGTCAAGACTCAAGTGAGTAATATCCGAAGGGAACATGTCCTTCCCTACGTGGTTGCAAAGAGGTCATTAGAGCAAATACTACCAAAAGGGTCTGTTCAGGACTTGAAGTTCATTCTAAAGAAACAGAGATTGAACTCAATTACCTTTGCAGTCTGCTGAGTTATATTAACAACTCTTAAACAAGCTTCAACTGCAGGTCTGATTATATATTCTTTCCTTCTCCTCCAGAAAAAGGTCAAGTTATTTTGCCACAGAAACACTTCCTTTTTCATTGGAGTTTCATTTAGAGTCTCTCTCAGAATGGAGGCAAAAGCCACGAGAGGAAAGTTCAATATGCCTCCTATGTCTTACTTTCACATGCTTTAGAATTTGCTATATTTTTGTCAGATACTCCAAGTTACTTCAAAATCACTAAAAATAAAACTGAAGTGTTTTTACAAAGATATATTAAGGGCAAAATTTGAAATACAACTTTTCTATGCCAATTCAACTAGAGAATTGGAAATTGTCCTTCAAGCAAATACAGAAAGAAGTTGTGGTGTCATAAGATTGGAACTAATAGCTGCATAATTACCATAGCTTGCAAGAAATAACCTGACTAGCAATAAAATAGAGAAGCATGGACAAAGGTAAATGAAGTGAAATCCATGGGAGATAACAATGATAGTCTGTGACCTTCTTGAAGTTCTTAGCATCTGTTGTTTAGCCCCATTTTAATAGTTCTAATTCCTCCCTTAGACAACCCATTTCCCTCCAGTTGATTGCTAGGGTTGAAGTCAGAAACTGGCAATGGCAAATGGAGTCTGTGCTTCCTCGTATACTGGCTCTCAAACCTTTTAGACAAAACCTGGTTCCTTTCTATTCATCTGGACAGGAGTGATAACATACTAATGGTGGGTCTGTAAAAAATGGTAAATTCTTTCTAAAAAAGTTTTGGTCCATGCATATATCCACCTTTTTTTTTGTGGCGGAAAAAAAAAAAAGACTAAATGTTTAGCTCAAACTTTCCAATTTGGCTAGTAAATTTATCTAATTGCAGAAACAAACAGTTTAAAGTTTGATTGTTATTACTATGCTTTATTTCACTGAAGATATCTTTAAAAAGTTCAGGGTGCATTTGTAAAGCTCAACAAATATATAGTTCTATTCCATTTCCTTTTAAAGGAGACAGTTTATTTTCATCTCACATTGCCACTTCCTTTGTCCTTTCCCTGTGTAGTAAATATAGGGGGGGAAAAAAGTTTACTCTGATAGACCAATTTCTAGATGCAGAGAAATAACGTCCCTCAGCTGAAGCTCAGACCTTGCAGGCACTGTCAAGTCTTCAGTAATCTGCTGCTTGCAGTGGTCTGTATAAGGAAGTTCCTTCTTGTGGTAGATTGACCCTGGCTGGATGCCAGGCACCCGCCAAAGCCACTCTATCACTCCCCTTCCTCAGCTGGACAGGAGGAGAGAAAAATATAATGAAAAGCTCATGGGTCAAGATAAGGACAGGGAGATCACTCAGCAATTACTTTCAAGGGCAAAACAGACTCAAGTTGGGGAAAATAAATTTAATTTATTACCTTTCAAATCAGACAAGGGTAATGTCAAAGAAAAACTAAATCTTAAAACACCTTGCTCCCATCCCTCC